CCCCCCTCTTCCATCTCTCCCCTTTTCACCACCAAAGACTCGTTGGCGAGAACCTCCCTTCCCACCACTGCCACGGCCATCCCACATGTTGGCGAGCACACGAGGCCGACTACAAAATCGGAGTGCTACCTACGGACAGTACAGCGACACGAAAGACACATGGCCGCAGCAGGCGAACAGAATTGGAAAGCCCCACCATGTCGTACAAACCCCATGACATATGTACACTCCGGCATGACGATGGGTGAGCCGTCTTCAACCAAGTGACGGAAAAGCAGCACCGAGCGAGAGAAAACAACAAGCACTACGAACATGCACATGCACGACGTCCCTTCCCCCCGTCGTCCATCCCACATCACCGTCTCTCCGTGACAAACGACGACCCCCCTATCCCACCCTGCGACGGCGACGTCGAAGACGAGCGCCATAAATGGATCATGAACCCCCCCCCGCTGCCTTCGCCGTCGGCTTTGTTTTTGTCTTCCTCTTCCGGAGGTGATGTGTTGGCACTGTGCCCGACCAATCCAGCTTCTTTGCCTCCGTGGGGGAAGACAACATCATGGCGTTATGTGAGAACTTCACGCCAATTGATGCCCAGTCGGGGATGTACAATGGAGGGGTTACCAAAGTCATGGGGGTCTTGCCAACTTGTCTGTGATGACGGTCGTAGCTTGCACGATATGGCGACGCGCGTCGAATGAGCGATGCGTGGATGCGATGAGCGTTGGCTTTGCCGTCAGTTGGACGAAAACCCATGTCGTAATGTGCGTGATGATCGTCCCCGCTCATCGGCATGAGCCACATCGTTGTCGTGAGCATGATCCTCATCGCATCGACAAAGCTCTTCAACCTTTCGTATGACACCCTCCTGCCGTCGATCCCCTCCGCCATGCTCACGGCGCTCGTGAAAGCCCCCACCAGTTGCTGGATGCTCGCCTCTTGATACGCCGTCAAGTCGTCGTTCTCGTGCGAGTCGTGCCTATCTTCGATGTCGGCGCCGACAAACCACAGTGGCAACTTCATATCCATGTCAACCGTAATGTGGATCACCATAGGGCTCACACATATGCCAGTCCTCCCCCATCTACATGGCGCGAGTGATGTCAGTGGCCTCGTGGTTCAACGCGTACTGGTATGCAGCGTGGTACACCCGTTGCCTGCTTGCCGACTTGAAGACCCACCCGTGGATCACCCGCAAAGCGATCCCCTGCACCTTCAGCACCCTCTCCTTCGCAGCGTTCAACTTCGATTCGTCCATAATTTTCTGTTGAGGGATGCATTGGTCGTATGAGGCAAGACGATGCTTCAACGAACGGCCGAAGGCTTCACTCCACACGCCACTGCCACAAGATACAGGCGCGCTTCCTGTATCAACTTCACTATGGCGATTCTTTCCGTTTCGTTCCAGAAGAGGAGGTCGTCCACCCATAGCTTCGACGCCGCCTCCATTCCATCCCGCGTATTCCACTGCCGCACCCTATTGACCAGTGCCTCCTCGTCCTCCCCCACTCCGGTGACATCGCCTACCTTCTCCCCTTCCTTTGCGTGTGATACCCCCCTTGCTTCTGCCCTGCCCGCCCTTGTGCCTTCCCCCGCATGTGAAGCCCCCCCCCCTGCGGCCCCGCGCGCCTCCTGCGTAGGAGAGCGGTTCTTGTTCCCCTAAGTGATGGCTTGCGCGATGACGCCCACATCTATAGTCGTCCTCGAGCGAGGGGTTGTTGGTGTTCCTGCACGGAGCGCACCCTCTTGCGCGTCAGGGGCGTCATTCACACATGGCACAGGGGCGCGATTTTGATGTGCGATGACACTTCCCCTGCCCTCCCTGGATGCCGCCGCGGCGTCAACGGCGATGGCGTCTTCCATGATTGCGCGCCCTCCTCCGCCTTGTCTATCGCCACCCTCGTCTATCTAGAGCCCTCCACCCGTCCGCCTGAACGACTTCCTCTTCAACGACGCATCGTCCTCTTCGTCGAAGCCGGTTTCGTCCAGCGTCGCTACCCCCTCCGGCAACCTAGTCTTCATCGTCGACGTAACTTGCAAGTGAGGGGGCGCTTTGGACGACCTTCCTCTTCTTGTTGGCCACGTGGCGGCCCTTTTTCTCCTAGACTGCCGCTTCCGCTGCCAGGTTGGCGGCGGAGTTGCCACGTTCAGAACCGCGGGATGACATGGCGCACGACACACCCACTTGAAGCTTGATCACCCGCGAAGTCGAGATCTCCGCTGCGTTGGCGAAATGTGCCCTGTGCTTCGAAAGATTGTCTCCACTGCGATGTCGGCTATGGCGATGATGGCGATGATGGCGACGTTGTCGATGACGGCCCTCAACGGCGACGAAGACGACGATGGTGACGACGGGAAAGATGGTGACTATGGCGATGATGGCAATGATGGGGGTGACGATGACGAATATGAGTTGCGCACTCCACGGCAGAAGAACGCAACGATTACGTTCACAGGTCCCACGCTGAATGTGGCGACGAGGACGGTGGAAGGCTGGAAGCCCCCGTGCGTTGAAGAAGGCGACGGCCGCGATCGTGGTGACGATGGCGATGATGGCGACGAAAGTGATGATGGCGACGAGGACGTCAAAGGCGGTGAGGATGACGACGATGACGTCGGAACGCGCACAGAAGGCGACGTCGAGTGGGCTTCGTAGCGTGCGCACAAGACAACGAACCTGCAGCAAGGCCAGGATCGTCCAAGAAGGCGGCGTGCAGCGTGCGACTAACTTTGTGTCGCGGAGAAGAGCAAGCAGGGAGAGGAGGCAGGAGCAGGTGAAGGCGAGGCAGCGAGAAGGCTGACTTGTGTGCCGTGATGCGCGCGTTTGGAGTCCAATCGTGCATTTGGCAAGGACACCTGCATCCTTATAAACACCCACTTATGCGGGATGGAGGACAACGAAGGACCACTACCTAAGACTGTTGAACGACAACTCCGTCGCCCTCCCGTGGATACGATGGTGTCCTAGGGGTCATCGCGAACGGCCAAACGAAAGGTCAAGGGTCGTGGGCTAGACTAGCGTGCATCAGTCACCCCGCCACACATCTTCTCATCACCCTTCCTGAATTTTGGACACGGAAGGACCCCCCACCCTGAAAGCCTGGCCCCATAACAGTTGCCATCCCCGTACCCTACTGAAAAAACTCCCTGCCGGCCATGAGCGTACCCAACCACAAAACTCACCTTACCCCCCTAACCCGCCCCCCCCCCACCCCCCCCACCACCATAACCTACATATTGGGGGGCAGGGGTTAACGACCCCCCGACGTCGATCTCCGACAACCGCCACCCCACCCGGGGATCAACAACGACACGGAATAAGAAAAAAGGAAAGCAACAGATTTCAAAATCTCCAGTTGTATTGCTTGGACATCCAGATTTAGACGATGATTTGCAATGACCACAAGCAGGGCATCTCCATCGACGACTGTGTGAGGGTATTCACGATATGAACAACAACATTCCATAAATTGACGACATTAAATACAACACCCTTATTACACCTTTGCATTTCATTCCGGGAGAGGACACCAAGACACATGCTTTTGTGAGAGAGAGAGAGAGAGAGAGAGAGAGAGAGAGAGAGAGAGAGAGAGAGAGGGAGAGAGAGAGAGAGAGAGAGAGAGAGAGAGAGAGAGAGA